ACACACACACACACACACACACACACACACACACACACACACACACACAGTTTTCTCCAAAACACATTCACAAGGAGACTCGTGTAAACTCACACTCATTCACGCAAGCCCTCTCATAAAGCGTTTCTGGCGGTGCCCTGCCCCTCCCCCTCTCTGCCAGGTTCCTGGCTGGTCAGAACAGTCCTTCTCGCTCACACTTGCGAAGAACCCCTTACGTGCTCACAGGCGATCTTACTTCTGTCACGGTTAGAGTGACAGGGGGAAAAGATGCAAATTGTACAGTGCAGTTTGGAGTCAGGGAGGGGCTTCTGTGCTGTCACACGTGGGGGCGCGCGCGCGCACACACACACACACACACACACACACACACACACACACACACAAGCTGTCTCTCCTTTTGACTACACGCTTGTCTCCTAACCTTTATCCCTCTCTCCAGCTCTCCTACCATCCGGTCTAACCGCCCACCAGCTTTCCCTACGCCCCCTCCCTCCCGCAGGCTCCCCTCCCCCGCCTCTCCAGAAACTAAGCCCCCAGCCCCTGGGTTCGGCCCCGGCCCCCCGCAGGCACGCGCATGCCCACTCGACTTCCTCTCGCTCAACCCTATCTGGCCCAGACAGCCGCCAGGCTGCCTCCGAAATGACCCAGCATTTGGCCCAGGACCCCACCCTTCACTCAGTCCCGAGCGCTAAGAATCAGGAGGACAGCCTTCTGACATCCAGGAGCTGTGTCATCCGCTGTTTTGGGGGGTGAGGGGACCTACACGATTGTGTGTGCTCCCCCTACTCACCCATGCCAACTTTCTTCTCCTTGGACAGGACTCAGTAACACGTCTTAAACTGAGCTTGAACTCCCAAATCCCAGACCAAGGACGTTTGATTTTTGCTGACTCCAAACTTTAAGTCTCTTCACTTACTCTCCGTTCATTCATTCGTTCGTTCGTCTCTACAATCTTACACGCCATGCAAGGCGCCTGGCATTTGGGGTATTGGAATGAGTACACTTGTCACTGCAGACCTCTCAGCTCGCAATAGACGTGTTACACTTTCCTTATTCGCCCTTCCTTTTTAATACTTCTTCTCAGTCCTCAGATCCCGGCGTTCAAAGGCTATCTGCCCTTCCAGCACATGGTGTCTTCCTTCCTTCCTTCCCTCCAGATCAGCACGAAGTGGTTTCAGGAGTGGGGGGTCCCAGTTATCTCTCGCGGGGACGTGTTGCCTGGAATCACAGTGATATTCATCTGCAGGGGTTTTTTTCTGTTAACTTAATCACAGTAGTTAATCACAGAATTCATTAACTTAGTGATTTTATTTTTTCACATAGATGTCTTGAATCTGCCTGGAGTCTATCTTTGTATTTAGTGTTGGGCACGGATCCAGTACTTTGGGCTGCATGGACTCGGCCAGTTTTCTCAAGGATGTCTACCAAATAATGGGCCCTTCGCCCCATCGATTCGTGGCGCTTCCTTATAAGGTATGTTCCTGTGTATATATGGAGCTGTCTGGAAGTCTAGCCTGTGCCATTGTCCATTTGTCATTTCTTGCTGTTCCAGCACCTAATGTCAGTTGTATTACTTAGTAGTAGGTCTTAATATTTGGTAGGATGAATCCTAATCTTTTTTTTTCACGATGGACATAGCTATTTATGCATCTTTATTTTTCCATAAAATTTTACAGTACGTTTATCAAGCTCTCTAAAAATTAAACTGGGATGTGGGGCGATCTGGCTACGATATGTCACCCCACCCATCACTAGGTTTGATTTGGTTGATCTGGCTGGCTAGGCGGGTGTTCCCTTTCTCCCTGACTGCCCCGTGAGCGTCCCTCCTGAAGCTGCTTGCTTGGTCAAAGAGGATGACTTTCCCCAAAAGAGGAGGACGGAGGCCCGTTCTTCCCTCAAGGGCATAGAGTAGCTGTGCTCCCCTGCTAGAGGCTCCAAACAAACTCTCAAGGTCTATTTGAAGGAGAATGTAGGGTGGTCAAGCTTCCAAGACTCCAGACACATCCAAATGAGGTGCATGTGTCAGTCTGCCTTTCTTTGAAAAAATAAAAAATAAAATAAAATAAAATAAAATATTAAACTGAAAGTGTGTTTCAGATTACAGTTAGAGACTTATAATTTGGGGGAAATTGACATCTTATAATATTATTGTCTCATTCAAGATCATAGATCATTTGTATTTATTCAGATCAAAGTTAAATTAATTCTTCCTTAATACATCACAGATTCTGTTGCTACTATGAATTGTATCTTATTTTGATTAGATGTTCTAGCTGATTATTTCTAGTGTAGATAAACACTTTTGATTTTTGTCAGTTGATCCTATATCCGGAAACCTTGCTAAGCTCGCTCATGAGATTGAAAAGCTTTTGGATTCTACTTATTTTTTCTAAGTAGATGATGCCAGCATCTCAAATCGTGACAGGTGTCCCTCTTCCTCGCTTCGGCCCTCCTTATGGCTTTGGCCAAGACCTCTAATACTACATGAGGCATTGGCGGTAGCTGTGGAAATCCCTGATTTGAATGTATACTTTCTTTACCTAGTTATATTTACTGTAGTCATTGTTATACAGTCTTGACCAAATTATTTCTTCCTATTTCTAGTTTATTAAGGTTTTTTTAAATAATAACAAATGTGTTGAACTATTCCGATGCTTTCTGCATCAGTTTACTTTCTTCTTGTAGTTTATTGATTTAGTTCATTTAGATTTCCTGAAGTTAAACAGTCCTTTTGGTCCTGTGATAAACCCCACATGATCATAGCATTCGTTTTTTTTGTTGTTTTTTTTTTTGTTTTTGTTTTTTTACCACACTGTTGACTTCAGTTAGCTAATATTTATTTTGGTTTTTACTCTATGTTCATCAGAGATATAAACCTATAATTTAATTTTCTTGTTTTACCTTTTACTGGTTTCAAGATAAGATGACATTAGCTTCTTGAAATGCTGCTTTTTTATTTTTTGCAAGCATCTTGTATAAAATATGAATCAAATGTTTCTTTTTTTTAAAGTTCTTTCTTTTTTTGTAAATGTTTATTAATTTGTTTTTGATAAAGAGAGAGAGAGAGGGAAAGGCAGAGAAAGGGAGAGAGGATCTGAAGCAGGCTCCACGCTCAGTGCAGAGCCCAACACAGGGCTCAATCCCACAACCCTGGGATGATGACCTGAGCTGAAATCAAGAATCAGACACTCGGGGCACCTGCATGGCTCAGTCAGTTGAGCATCTGACTTCAGCTCAAGTCACAATCTCACGGTTCGTGGGTTTGAGCCCCATGTCAGGCTTTGTGCTGACAGCTTGGAGCCTGCTTCAGATCCTCTCTCTGCCCTTCCCACCCCCCAAATAAATAAACATAAAAAAAAAAAAAAAGAATCAGATACTCAACCAACTGAGCCAGCCAGGCTCCCCACATGTGGCAAACTTTCTGAGGCCCAAAGTATTATGCTGTCAAAGTCCCAAAGTATTATGATCTCATATTTGAGTGACAGTTTGGCTTGATATAAAATTCTAGGTATAAACTTCTTTTCTTCAGTCCTTTAATAATTTTACTCAACTCTCTTCTGGCATCCAGTGCTCCTCTTAAGAAGTCTAATGTAGATCTAATTCTCACTCTTTTGTCAGTGATCTGAAATTCTTTATAATTTACTCTTTGTCTTTGATGTTCTTACACAAGATGGGATGTTCTTTGATGGGTTTAGGGCTGTGTGTGTGTGCATGTGTTTCCTATTTGCCCCTCTTGGCAAATTTTGAGTCCTTTTGGTCTGAGATCTTTCTTTTTTCTATAATTCTGAGAGATTTATGTTGACTTTTTCTTCAAATATTTCTTCCTTTCCATCTTTTTTCTTTCGCAGGGATTATTAGTAACCATATGTTGGATGTTTCATGTCTCTTCACTCCTCTTTGATTCTCTTTGATTCTTTAATCTCTTAATGCTTTACAGGAACTTTCTGGGAGAATTCCTTGACTTTTCTTCCAGCTCATGCTCCAGCCACATCTGCTTTTTTTTTTAATTTTTTTTTAAATTTTTTATTTTAGAGAGAGAGAGAGCACAAGCAGGGGAAAGGGGCAAAGGAAGAAAAAGATAGATTCTTTTTGTTTTAATATTTTTTATTTATTTTTGAGACAGAGAGAGACAGAGCATGAGCAGGGGAGGGACAGAGAGAGAGAGACACAGAATTGGAAGCAGGCTCCAGGTACTGAGCTGTCAGCACAGAGCCTGACGCGGGGCTTGAATTCACAGACTGTCAGATCATGACCTGAGCTAAAGTCGGATGCTTAACCGACTGAGCCACCCAGGCGCCCCAAGAAAGATAGACTCTTAAGCAGACTCCATGCTCAGCACAGAGCCTGACACAGGATCGCTCCCACGACCCTGGGATCATGTCCTGAGCCCAAATCAAGAGTCAGATGCTCAACTGACTCAGCCACCCAGGTGCTCCTGCTCTTTATATATCACATATATTGTGGTCTTTATCTCAATCATAATATTTTTCACAACTATTATTTTTATTTAGCAGTGTTAATGGTTCTTGCTCTTGATTCATGTAATTTATGTCTTCCCTTACCCTTTTAGGCATACCACTAATATTTACCTAGAATTATTGTGCTGTCAATTGTCATAGTTCTCCTTCGGATGGTCTCTCTTGTTTAGTATGGTGTCACTCTTCAAGGTAGTAGTTCTCCTAAGACA